GGGGGGGGGGGGGAATCAAACCCCACAACTAAGGCAGACCAGCCAAAAATCTTTAGCCACGATTTGTATTGACAAGCAACATAATCAGGCTTTAAGCCTTGGCTTTCTTTGGGTCCAAATTTGTACTGGCTCCTTCAGCAACCCCAGTTCCCCATCTTCCTCACTCTGCCTGGGGCGCTTCATTAATGAATGAAATCTCAAGATAAGAGAGGCCCTCCTTCTACTTTTGTCCAGTTTTGTCCTTCTACCCACCCCAGGGGTCAGCTCTCTTCCCCCAAATCAGGAAGTTCCCTCATTTCTTTCCTAACACAGGTGCCCTTGGTTAGTGCCTGACGGGGAGAAGGGATGGCATGGGAATGGCATCTCCACCTGAAGGTGAACGTTAGAGCCCAGTCTGCCCTTTTCCCTCCAGCTGGAGTAGCCCGGCTGCTTTCCTCCTGGGGATCTCCTGTGAAACAGCTGGGGGACAGGAGCACTAATGAGGAGGCTGTGTCCTGAAGTGAATGACAAGTCAGGATGGAGGGAAGAGCCTGGTGGGCAGGGGTCCCAGGCACACCAGGTTACTGAGGATCCCTAATCTAAGCTCTATGTGTTTTTCTTCCCACTTGTGAACTAGTGATAAGTGGGTGTCGCTAGGTGAGTGTCACTGTGTGGGGAGGGGGCAGGGGCTGGGCATGGGAGTGGGAGTAACCTGATGATCCTGGGAAGAGGGGGCACTGTCTGGAGTGCCAGGGTGGAGGTGCATGGCTACCTGTGGTGGTCACTGCATTTGTTGCAGGAGCTGTGATGTAACTGCAGGTCTGCCCAGTGGGAAGGGGCATCAGGAAAGCCCCTGCCTTAGCCTAAACGGCTAAGGTGACCAACTTGGCTTACCCTCTAGGAGCCCCTCCCAGGAGGGTCCCTGAGCAAAGGGAGAGGCTGAGAACAGGGCCATGCGGCTGAACCAGCCAGGGTAGGGACCCAGGGGCCTGCCCCTCCCCATGTTTATGGAGAGTGAGGTGGACAGGACCCCGGGCCGGGGCGGCCGCTCTCCCCTCATCAGAGCCAGGGGCTTACCTTGGGTCCGTGTTGAGTGGCCCTTCAGATAGACAGCAGGACTGACAGACTGACGGGGCGGGCAGGAGTGAGGACGGAGCTGTGCGACGGGCAGGGCCGGGACTCTTAAACCGGAGCTGGGATCAGATAAGGGCTGGTTCGGGGGCCGGGGCCGG